TTTGTAAGTATCAAGAAAAATAATGTGCTTTGTTATATGTCTTGCTGTCATGCAGCTGTCTGCACCTAACACACCATGGATTTGAAGTAGACTGAAGAGACCTGTTTGCATCATCTGCTTTGTAGATGTGTTCTTAATTTGTTATCAGATGTTTTCATTTCATTGAATCATTTTCTAATATCTGACAAATTCATTGGAAATCTATTTAACTAAATTCATCAGAGCATAGAGGAGTGTAGGAATAGTCCCTAGATATAACATAGTGTGGCTTCATTTTTAATTTTGCACACAATTCTCTGATTTAGGGATTTAAAGTTAAAACTGAACTAGTAATTTTCAGGCTGAACTTAATTGTAATTGATAAAATTAATCATATTGTGTTATATGAGAAGTCTAGATTAAGAAAACAATGCTAAAAAGTAGCCAAATGTAAACCCAAAATGTAATTAATGCCAAAAAGGAAAATTTCTGAAATACGAAGTATTCTTTCTATGAAGTGTTCAGTATTTTATATTCTTCAGTTGCTCACCTGTCATTTACACACAGTGAAAGGACGTTAGGTAGAAGGAATGAAAAAATGTATTGTTCAGATAGAAGATACATTGTCTTGCACTTCAGATAAAAGCAACGGCTGAAAATCCAGGAAGCCTTACAAGTTTTGGTTTTGTTCTTTCTGTTTTAGCATACTTTCCTGATGATCTTTATATACTGAATATTTGAAAATACTATATTAAGACAGCATTGCAAAATGCTTGCATTCTTCTATTGCAAGTATTAAATAGAGCTGTATTGAGTACATGTCACTTTAAGCAAACAGAAGAAAAATTGAACTAGAGATTGTGGCTGCATGCTTTGGAGTTAGTCCTGTGAGTTACAAATTACAGCTTCTGCTTTGGAAAACATGAATCAGTAAGAGGAAAATGCTCTTTCCATGTGCTTCTTCCATGGTAAATTAGTTCATGATGAATCCCATCCTTAAAGCAGTCTTAAACAGTGCATGTGATCTTTTTAAAAAAACTGTTTTTTCAGGCAGTTGGTTATGCTAATTAAAAATATAGATGTGAAAGAGATATTCCTCTTAGTAGCTAATGCAGGTGCATTCATTTGCAAATGAATCTTAAGTTAGCCTGCAGAATTCAGTCAGTGCTCTTACATATGTCTCTCCATTCCTCTCGTAACAGTCTTAGCTGTGGCAGTAGCTTACTTCACTTAGACAAGCTGCTTTACAGACTTGTAGTAAGTCGTCAAAGCAAAAAAACATTCCTCATCCCCTCAGCAGAATCTGAATCCTTTGCCCTTTTCTTTTTTATTTAGAGTGATATATTGTTAATGATTGCTGTGTTTATATTGTTGAATTTCTTTTGCCTTTCTTACTAAGGTACAATTTTTTTCCTAGTTGCTTTAAGATGCTTATCAGTGGGTATGTATCTCTGAATAACCAGGTGCAGGAACAACAGTTGTTTCCAATCTGGATGATGACTTTGGGGGTCCAGATGACCCATCAGGTAATCAGCTGTGGGTTAGTCAATTTTGTCTTGTATGCAGTTGTAAATTTTATGGGATTTTTGGAGACGGAGATTACTAGGGCTCAATAGCTGTGCCATGTTTGCTCATACCAAGTTATTTTCAACTTTTGGATAAGTGCCAATTCTCCAAAAGATTTTAACATCAGCATTAGTGGTGAGTCGGGGGCGGGGGGGGAATCTTAGCAGAGTTCTATTTGTATTAATAGTAATCCAAGCTGATAGTAGATGCAGACAGCCAAAGCCTCTTAGGCTGAACACAGTAATACTGATGTTGTAGCAAAACCTTGGTACACATCAAATGCATAATTAAGAGAGATGATACTCTGGTTGAAAGCCATTTGTGAGATGTGTTAATGAACAGAACACCTTGTCATTCAGAAGAATAGTGGTTATTCTGGTCCTCCCATCTCCAAAAGAAGAGAAATTAATGTGTCTAAGAAAGCCTTAAATAACAGGCCAAAACTCAGCTATGGCCCTCTCCCTTTCCTTCCTCTCCTGTCTTCAGAGGGGCTACTGAGTTTCCTGGGGTGCTGTGAATTTTCACTTTCATTTGATAAGGTAAATTGGTTCACTCTCAAAAGAAAGTCCATTTCAAATGAGCCCAGCTGTTTGGCAGCAGTGTTGGGGGAGGGAAGCTGTGAGGGGAATTTGTTTTTTTAAGTTCAGTCACCAGCACTTGTTAAGCAGCTAAACTTCAGAGAGATGTTTTCTGCCATTCCCTCCAGCCCTAGTTCACAGCTTTTAAAATGTGGCTATAAAGTTTTTTTAATTCTGAAAAAGTATCCCAGAAGCAAAGGATTCACTGCTCAGTCCCAATTCCTTTACTGTAAAGCGAAAGTATTCTAAAGTAGATGTTGGCATTTTAGTGGAAGAGGAAGGAAGGAAAGAAAGTAAGGAAGGATTTCCTTTGACTTCCTATCCAACTGAAATTCTTAGTATGTTTTAAAGGTGTGGAAGCTCGATAGTCTTCTCTTACAGTCATTTTCTGCAATTCCTGTTTTGGTGTTTTCACTTAGTTCTTTAATTTAATGGGTTACATTTCTGAGGGGAGCAGACCCTGACTGAGCATCTTTCAGGTCTTGATAACATGCCATGATAACAATTAAAAAGAAATATAACCCCCAGTTCCCAACCTGGGAATTCCTCTAAAATCTCAAATACAGTATTTTAGGGAGCAGTGGAAATGTATTAATGAATAAACAATGTGGAGAAACATAGCAAAAAGCCATATTTAAGGTACTATTTTGTTATGTCATGTCTGCACCCAAAGCTGGTTTAAGGCTCCTTTTGTGAAACGATAGCTTAACTCTTTTGGTAGCCAGAACTCAATTATAGTCTGGACTAGCATGCTACTGTTGTACAAAAAGTCATTAACAATCATTGCTTTCAAACATACCAGTATTATTTTGTACTATCAGGTAGACAACTTTGAGTTGACCAGAGGATAATTCGTAGAGCTGAGGTATTTTTGCAGTTACAGAAGGAGCTATAGCATCTCATGAAAACACTGTTACGACCTCACTGAAACGTCGTGGAAGGAATATCTGTGTTTACTTAGTCCTTTTTATTCAGAAAGCTGTGTGTGATTTTCTGTGGCCAGAAAAGGTGGTGATTGTTCTGACAAGAGTTGGAGAACAAGCCAGCCCAGGGAAGCCGAATATCCCTTGGCTGTGCAGGCAGGTCCTGCCCGAACAGGGAGAACGGCTTGCGTCTTGTAATGCTTTCCTGCCACCTGTGGCAGGTGAGGGGGGGTACACTAGACAGACGCCTAAGGTGGCGAGGAGAAGCAGTGTGCCTATGGGCATGGAAGAAACAGATGGTATTTACAGCCTGCTGCCTCCAGTCCTGTCCTCTCTCACTACTGAGCAGTTGTTCAAATCCACCTAATGATGGGGCCAGAATGGTTTGTGTAGTCTGCTGTGGGCATGCCTTTTCTGCACCAACAGGGAAGAACTTGTGCATCCCGGTGGGCTGGCGTGAGAAGAGGGGACTTCTCTCCTTTGCCATAGTGCGTCTGGAATTCAGCTGGGTAGGCCGTGGGCAGAATTAAGATTTTTGCTGTTTAGCGTGCGGTAAGGGATCCTGTTCCAAAACTCGTCAGAGCTGGGAAGCGGATTTAGAAGGACAAAATTTGGCAAGGGGAGTTGAGGCCACCCATGTCTGCTGAAGCAGGGAAGCAGCTTCCTGTACATTATTTCCCACTCACATTTCACCCTTCCCCTTCAAAGCTTTATGAAAGATGATGGCAGAATCCCAGCAGTGCCTGCACTGAATTGGATGCACTGATGGCAGGAACAATCAAGGAACACAGTATGGTTTTATTGCTAGGTGGTGTTTCCAGATGACAATGAAGTCGCAGCCTAATTAAACCACAGCCCTTGTGTCTCTGTATGGCTGGGACAATAAAGGCTAGCTCTCAGTTTCATTCAAACGTTAGTGTAATCTGACAGGTGCATTATGTGCATGCCTAAATCAAAGAACAGCAAAGGGAAATACCAAGCTGCCACGAAAAGGAGATGGAACCATGAGAAATACTTCAGTAACTGTATTTTGGACCTCGTGACTGATTCTGGGACATAACGAATTATGAATGTGCATTGAAAACACTTTAATACTGCTGGAGTTAAAATTGAAATGATACTTGCAAAGCAAGCTTTTTTGTTAAATATATAGAGTGAAAGTGAGAAAAAAGTACTATTGTAGGCAGTTTTTAAAAATTTATTTGGGGATGATCTAAGCTTAAATTGATTTGTTAATTATAAAACTTTGTGACTCATTAAATTAATCATGTTCAGAAAAATAAAGTATGAATTTAATTTACTGTTAGCTGCCGGGGTGGTTTCACTCTGCACATCATTTAGTTTTCGTTACATTTCAAGAGAATAATTTTTATGTTTGGTATTTACCTGTAGAGACAATGGAAACTGATAGTGGTGCTGTGTGCATTATGATACTCATGAAGATAACTATTTTAAAACTTCTTGATAGCTCCTGCTTTTCAAAATACTACATCTGTTAATAGCTGCATTTTACTAAATTTTCATGTGGTTATCTCAGTGGACAGCTTGAAGTCTGGAATGGATGCTTGTGAAAAGTATGGCAAGAGTGAACCTTACACACATTACTTCTAAATGTCCCATGAATTAATTGTAATAACTGAATTAATTTTAGCGGTAATAATGCTGTAAATTTTTGTTGACATTCTGTGGTATGTGCTATCATAATAAAACTACACAGTATAGTTTCACATCATGTTTGTAAAAATCATTTAACAGACTGAGTAAATTTGTGCATATAATCTCACAGCTGTTTGAAACTAATATGGTGTGGGAGTAATATGTAACCTACTGGACTAATGCCAAAGCAGTGTACCCTAAGAATTGATTCCTTGCTTTATTTAGTTGCTTTCATAATGACATTTTAGGTTAGGAATGTAAATAAATACTTTTTATTGTGTTTTGTTTTTTTCAACAGGATACTACAAGTATAGAAAAAATGTCAAACTGTTGTGAAGACCTGTAAGTGCTATAAAATTTCTACATTTATTTGCTGAAAAGCTGAAAGACTAGCTTGGGTTTTTTAACTGTGTGAGAGAGAAAAGGAACTGAAGGCACTTTGTTAAGATTATTTTGCATGGTACTGTGCCCTGTACTTCCTAGCTCACTAATCTTTTAATATTGATTGTGCATAAAGTAGCCTCACGTTATTCCCATTCCTTCTCTACCCAAAGCCAATGGAACTATATTTTCTTTCAAAAGTACAGATCAAAAGACACTTTCTGCTGTGTCTTGACATACATTCATTGATTCTGAGGTTCTCCTCTGCTTCAAAAGTTGCCTTTGGTTGATTGACGACACAGATAGTTTCTGTTCTCCAAAGTTAAGTCTCAGCTGCATGCCATAATGAAAGAAAAGCTGTATTTGTGATGCTGGGACACAATTCATCAGAGTCCAGTAATGGATCCCCAGCCAACCTGCATTGTTCTAGCTGACTGAAGCGCACCGTGGGCGTGCTGTCTTTCACTAATAATGCTGTCTTCTGTAGATCGAGGCCCCGAAAGCCATGGCAGCAGACCTTCTCAGAAGTTTTTGGCACTCACTGGAAGATCCTGTGGTTTATTCCTTTCAGGCAGAGGCAACCACTGCGAGTTCCCTACCACTTTGCCAATCACGTCTAAACAGATGGATGGTGGGCACAGATGGGTCCTCCATGCTGGAAGTGCGTTACAGGTTTTGTGATAATAGGACTATGACAGTCTTCAAGTCAATTAAAATACACCCACCAATTGTAGGCATCACAATGTGCCCCAGGCTTTATTATAGTAGTAGTCTTGATTCTGTTCTGAGATTAATACAAGTTGTATGTTTAATTTTAGGCATATTTACTTTCAAATTAGCTTTCCAAAGGGATTTCTTTCATCTTTTGTTAATACCAAAACCAAGTGACTGGAATGCAGTCTTACTCTATTTGTTTGATACTGGCTGTTTTAATTTTTTTTTTTTTGGTAGGAAACACTGAATTTTGCGTTGAATGTTAGCTTTCCCACTAAGTGTCTTATTCTGCCTTGAATTTTTTTTGTGTGTTTTTATCACTTGGTCTGTCTAGATAATATTCATGTCTTTTTTCTGCTACATCTGTTTAAAATTCCCTGATGCTGCCATTTATTTATGATAACGCAATAGTAATCCTGCAGCACTGTACTATAAAAGGTAACATTTAAAACTGAGGCAGACTTCTTCCTAAGCCTTTCTCAGAGAGGTTTTTATAAATACACATAAATGTATGTGTTTATATAGAGAAATCTTAGATCTTACAGTTACCTTTCTGCATAGATATGATCCAAGTGAAAAATATTCATGCCTTTATGTCAACAAAAGTGATTAAATACTCCAGGGTAAAATATGCAGATAGAAAGCATGTTTTCCCTATATCCCAAGGTTTCTTTGCAATAATTCAACAAAGAAGTTGTATGGTGCAAATACTAGAATGATTACTTTTTAAAAAAGCAGATTGAATTAGTTAGCATAATGTACCATAATGAAAAGTATATTGTCAATAAAGTTTTAAACTTTATATTTACTTTTGTTTAGTAGCTGGAATTGATCTAAGTGTTTGTATATATGTGGAATATATGTGAAAATATTTTAAAATATTTATACATAAATACAGATATTTGCTACTAACATGTATTCTGAAGTCTATTAACTGATTTAATAGGGTTCTATGTTGATGTACAGTAGCTTGTTGTGGGTCCTTTAAGTATGGAAGTAGTTAACCAAAGAAAGCATCCTTAAGATTACATCTGGTAAAATGACAATGATGTCCAAAGTACTGGCTCAGCTTTGCTGTATCTGGAAAAATTATTAGTAATTTATTGTAGCCCTCTGTATCTATACAAACATCAGCATGACATGATTTTTGAAAGTGCAGTGAATTTTTATGAGAAATTCATAGCTTCAATGTTTTCAGTTATGCTGCTTACTGTGTTTGTTGCCTAGTCTAACAGGACTAGGATCCACCTTAAAAGACAGCCATGCAATAGGGTAATAAAAGGAACAAAAGGAGGATGTAATATACGTAGGCTGTGTTTAAGGAGAGTAGTAGTGCATTTGTGAACAGTTCATTCAAAAAGAATGGCCAGAGTTGTCCTAAGTGGTATTTGCAATTAGTTTTTAGATCAGCTCTTTTAAAATTATAACACAGTCTCTGCCAATGCTGGGTGTCCCTTTATTGAATTAACAGATTTTGGTGATACCTTGAAAGTTCCAAAAGGTGCATCTCAAAAATTGCTTGAATTTTAAACTTTTGTAAGCTTCTAACGTTTGAACCAACTTTACTTTCCCTCTCCTTTTAAAAATAGATGCAATATTTTCTTCATTTGAATGTTCAACTGTTTTTTTCATGGCGTCTTTAGATGCGAGTTTAGACTTTAAGATGGTATTGGCAGGGATATTTAAACAAAAGTGAGCTTGAGGAAAGTGGATGGAAAGGCTGGAAAGGCTGGAGCAGTGCTTGACGTTAAAAAAGAATGTGCGTACACATTATAAAGTAATGGCAGTATTCTGTCTTTTTTTTAAGGAATTCCACTACTATAGTCTCTGTGAAACACATAGGGGACTAATAGCAGTTTTGTTTTACGTGCCAATGTTTAAATCAGTTTTATGAGCAAAACATAGTAGTTTTTAAAAAGTTTTTTTCATGCTAATTGGTTATCCCAGTTGGCAGATCATACAGTTCTGAAGCTTACTAAGAAAGAGGATCCAGAATTTAACTCTTCTGGGTACATTCACTGTGGGGGCATATAATTATTCTTTCTGTTTTCTAGTATCATTGTTTCAGTTAATTTAGCCATGCATGGAGAACCAGATCCGTAACACAGAACCTGCTCAACAGTGGGAGCCTCAGTTATAAACAGCGTATTTAGTGTTTGTACGTGATATCTGGTGAAGTAACGGGACCATTAAATTCTGCCTGCTTTGTGGGGCTAAAAATCCACAAGCACCCCGAACGTGGTATCGTCTGCTGTATTCCAGCGTTCTCAAACAAAAGAAGGTACCGAACCTAAGAAGCCAATGCCGGTATGGCACGGATCGGGGTTAAACATGCTCTGAATGTACTGGCGACCGCGGGCGCGAACATCCATGAGTTGTCGCTCATGGGGCTGGCGGGTCCCCTATGCGGAGGGACGCTGCAGCCGCGGCGCCACGCGGCCTCCCAGCCTCCCTCGCTCTCCCCGCCCCCTCTGTCGGCCATCTTGCGCAGCGACAGCGGGCTGTTTGGCCCAGAGCAGGGGCGGCGCCCGCCTGCCCGCATCGTTGTGATGCCGTGGGTGTGGGCAGCAAGGGTGGCGTGGGTTGGGCCTGCGGCCCGGCCAGCGGAGGGGCTTGCTGCTCGGGACTGGAGAGCGCCTTGGGTGAGCAGGGCCTGCCTCGGGCCTGCCGCAGGCGGGAGTCCAGCTTGCCAAGCTTATCTAGAAAACCTTGAGAGCCACTCGACTTCCCTTTCAAGCCATCAATTGTAAACAAAAAATTTTAAAAAATGTAAATTCTAAGGCACTTACTTAAATGACCGAAAGCACAACCTCCTGGTATGCATTTAAGTAAATGACGTACGTGAAAGTCTTGCCTGATTCTCAAACGAAAGTGGTAATTGCACAGATTCACAATTTGTCGAATGTTTTTGTATTGCTGGATTTTTTTGATAAACGTATTTTTTCTCAGTCTCCCATTCATCCTTAACATTAGGAATCAAGATGCGGTAGTGTTGTCCAAAAAGCAGATTCATCACCCGGTGTGGATCGAGCCAATAATCACACACTCGGGAGAGACATTATTTATTTCGTTATCTGCGCAAAGATGGGTGCTAGGCGGCAATTCCACAAAGCTAGCACACCCTGCAGTTAAACAAGCAAGCAATTCATACAATTTCAGGTTCACTCACTTAGTTTCCAAAGTCCTTTCCCCAAATCATTATTGGTAGTCGATTATCTGCCACCATTTCTATTGAGCTAAGGTTTTCTCTGCTTTGAATTAAACGTACAGTCTTCTTTTATTCTACAGCGCATGCTCAAGGCGGGGAGTGTAAGTCTTTTAGGTCTTGAATTGAGTTGGTGGTCGTGATCTCCCCCTGCCGTCTTGACCTTTCCCCCAGTTACCACAGATGTGCACTGACTTCATGCCCATTACTAATTACTCAACTTTCGGTGCCTTCTAGGGCAGGATGTTCCCTCCTTATTGGTCTTTTAATTCTTCTTCGAGGTTCCTCAAGGCCCAATTATTTCAAGATGTGCTTGGTTAAAGAATGCTAGTTGTTTTCTTTTCTGATTACAAATTATTAAGTGTCCTTAGACTGTCAGCTTAATATACATACAAAGAACATCTTGCATAGAATGAAACAGATCATTTCACATTTTTAGGTTAATCTTCAACAATATGATCAAGACAGCTACTTTATTTTTTATCCCATTTCTGAGTGTGTGGAGGAGAGAAGGGAGAATTTGGAGAGGCTTCATTTTTAGGAGGCACTGAGCTTTTTTTCTTTGAATGACAGGCCTTTAAAAGTGTAAAAGTAATCAAAATATTTGTAAAAATTTTAGCCAAGGACCCTATCACATTACTAGTTTATTAGACTAATGTTTCTGAAACTGATCCTCGGAAAGTTATTCCAGCAGGAAAAGATCGGGTAGACTTTTATGATCTAATTTGAAATCCTTTAAACCTTGAAATCCCTGAAATCCTTTGAACCTTTACTTTGAAATCCCACTATTTTCCCTCCAGCTCTCCTTCACAATTTTTTATTTTAGTAGAAACTGCATTCTTAAGACTAATTAGTACTGTCATTTTTATTCATTTAAAAAATCTTGTAGATGGTATTAATGAATTTCATCTTAATATAACATCAGAACTATACATACTTTATTGAGCACAGTGGATATTAGCTATGAACTTAACAATATTTGATTTCCTGAGAGGTACAAAAAGAAGTCAAAGCACTAATGAAAAAGAACCTGAAAACATTTGAAAATAACTGGTTTATTTGCAGTATGGGGTAGCTCCTGATAAGACCAAGCACTGCCACCTTGCTATCTTCTCATAATATCAGAGATTTGAGATTTCATTTGAAAAATCTTGACATCTAAAATAAAAGATTCTACATTAAGTAATGTTTGCCAACCTATCCTCTGATCTGTTGGTTTGAAGGACAGGTTCCATTGAACAGCTGGTAGAGTAGTTGAGATACGCAATGATTTTCAGTCTTCTGCAGGATTCATGAGTAACAAACTGTCTAAGAATGGAGTGGTAGGATAGATTTTGAACGTGGCAGCTTCCTCCTTGTTTTGAATCTAAAGTGGGCTAACGTGAAGGGAAGATTCATAAAAGTACAGTGAAAATGGAGATGGGGCCAAAAGAATTGTTTTGATCCATTACCAAAGTTTACAAAATGAAGTGAGATTGCAAAGCGTGGGAGTTACGTAGTTGAATACACATGCCGTCATTATATGATGTCTTTCAATGTTGTATAGTTTTATTCAGTAAATTATACTTTTCAGAAATTATGAATTCATGCTTTGTTTTGTGCTATAACAAGTCATTGTATGCCAATGTAAGAAATGTAGGTGGCAAAGACAGGCTTTCTGCAGTACTGCGAAAAAGAATCTTTTTCAAGTCAACTTTTGAGTTTAGATGAAACTTATGTTAATAAGATGAGTTTTCTGGTAACCTGAACTTGTTAGTTAACATAAACCACTTTTTTTGTAATGCATTATTTACTGTATTTGGCCAGCCTTCCTGCCAGCAGTACATCACTTATAGCAGAGTGTCTGTCACATATTTGAGGATGCTGTCACTTAGATGTATTATTTAACTTGGCTATCCCCACCTTTCATCTTCACCATGCACTCAGTTTTGCTGCAGCTCACAAATAAGAAGCCAATGTAGCTTTGTTGGTACAACCATATCACACAGACAAATACTACTGGCTGGCTCTTGTCAATATCCCAACTTGAAATATCATTGCATTCCTTAGAAGTGTTTTCTTTTTATGGTGGAGTCTTGATCTTTCTGGACAAAAATCGTGGCTTATTTTACATATACTCCCATTGATAATACTGTATTAGCACTTCTAAACTATTCCTAAAATAAAAACGAAGTGTACACTT